TGACTGTATATGCAACAAAGTTCAGTCTAGAAATTCTTCCACTTCTTTAAAAAAGAAAATGAATTACTCAATTTTCAATTGTTGACGACGATATTGTTCGTCAGCGATACAGAAGATAATATGTACCAATCCGTCTTATTTTGAAGCAAATTATATTTACCACTACAAGCGTTAAACCTTGGAAAGTGGGTAGGGTAATACTTGGGGATTGGACAAAAAAAAGTAATAATTATACAGATTGTTTTCCCTTTTCTTTTCTTTTCTTTTTCATTCTGTAAAAAATGAGGAAGACGCGCATGTCATGATTAACTTAGTTTATATTTTTCTTTAAAGTGTAGTGTATCACCTTTTCTCGTGAAGGGGAGAGGGAGGGTTGATTGCCCCCTGGTAGGGGCGCTGCAGACACCATGGATATTTGTTAACAAGAGCCAGTCATCCATGGATGTTTATCATAAAAGAACTCTCCGTATCGCAATCCGTCAAAAAACCGGTGCAATCTTCAGTGCATAGAAATAATACTCATTGATTTCTGGTGACTGCTCTATGCCAATTTAACCTCATTCTCATTTGTCGTTCTTTTTTTTCTTCTTTTTTTACAAACCACCAAATATTATTTATGTTCCCACGATTTCAATCTCACATCATCTGCGATTATCATCCGTAAACATCATCTTTACGATGTATACCCTACTTTCTCTCCCGGCCTCTCACATCGCCTTTTTGACTCGTGAATACGGATCGCACGAACGAGACGTTGAAGGCATGTCTCCCCATCCTCGCTCGCCTACACGAAGACAAAAGACTTGCCAACTTTCCCACGCTCCAGCCACGCGACCGAGGCTATTCATTGGCCCCCTCGCACCGGCTTCTCCCAGCCAGGCCCGACCCGTGAGAAAAACTCTACGTCCCCCATTGTTAGCTCAACGAGAAATCATAGTCTCGCCTAGCCCGTTCAATCCATTTTTACACTTAATGCTCCGCTTAATTGTTTTATTTCCATACTTTCCCACCGATCTACCGCTATGGACCCCCGTAAACCACATAGTTGGACAATGCAAATATGCATGAATTAAAAACCAGTGATGGGAAAATTTGATCAATAGTTAAAAAGGAGAGAGAAAACAGAAAAATATAGACAAATATCGAGCTGGAGATCACGGTCGTATAATAAAAGCGTCAATGCCCCCGCACCGATCAGCTGTCCCCGGCCAGCTAGTCATGCATTGATTTCGAACTGCACATATCAAACTTCGTAGAAATATTTACATTTTTATGATGTATCGCCATGGAGACAATAATAATATATTCAAATGGGTGCAGGTGTGATTAAGGTCTGTCAACTTGTGTGTGTGAAAACATGACGGGTAATGTTTCCATTTAATCATGATGTAGTGTACCATGGAAATATTAGGCATTTTACAAATGTATGCATATTTATATATCTCTGTATTATAAATACATATATAATTTTCCATTCATTTTGTATTTGCAATATTGATTATGTATATACCTGGTGATTTATATTTACTTCTCCTTTGTCGGTCTATAATTACCTTTGTAATTGGTTATATACTTGACGAATTTTAATAATTACTTTGTAACCGATTTCAATACTTTTTGTATCTACTTGTATTTCATAGATAATCTAAAATCGTGGATTCCAATTCAATAAATTTGTATTTTTATTTGATCGATATCTCTCTCCCCCCCCCCTCTCTCTCTCTCTCTCTCTCTATCTCTCTTTCCTTCCCTTTTTGTCAATAGGTGGAAGTGCTGCTGTTTCGGTATTCTATACATCAGGTGGAAATCAAAATAAAGGGAAACTAATTAAAATAGGAATATGGCTATTGTTCTTTGGAAAGAGGGAAGGGGCTAGAATAATATATTTTATTCTTTAAGCATCTGCAAACCTAACTTGATGTATAATAATTTTGGTTTCGTACTCATATGTATGTTGTATTATAAAACTTAAAACAATACTTTTAGTTGCGAGATTATTTTTCGAACTGTCTTTTATCAAGAGCTGACATGGGGGGGGGGGGGCTCCGACAGCAATTATTCCCAGGAACATGATTTGAGAAATCCCAGCGGCAATCCTAGTTAGAAGTTAGAAAAAACGGTGAGAGCTCTATATTTTTCAGCGCCTTTCCCCTTTCTTCTTTCTTTTCTTCTTCTTCACTTTCCCCTTTTCACCATTAAATCATGATATTTAATCTTGTGTACTTTTTTTTAAGGACCCGCCTATATACATGATATTTCTGAATGAAACGTCACTTTGTTTGAACGACGTGATACAATATCCGTCATGTTTGTCGTTCGTATGAAGACGCATTCGTCATGTATATCAATGCAAATGTTTAATGTCGTTGTCTAATATTTGCTGATTTAATGTCAGTTTGCATGAATGAAACGGATCGGTCACGTGGGTGGGTGTGACTTGTGGCGAGGAATCAATAATGGTATACATGGGACTAAACCAATGAGAAAATAGAGAGAAAGGTTGAGGGAGAGAAGGAGGGAGAGGGACAGAGATGGGGAGATAGAGATAGAGAGAGAGGAAGGTAGCGAGAGAGAGAGAGAGAGAGAGAGAGAGAGAGAGAGAGAGAGAGAGATAAAGAGAGAGGGGAGCGGGAGAATGAGAAAGGGGAGTGAAGTGAATAAACTGAATGTGAAAAAGAAAAGAGAACCCCCCCCCCCCAACAAACAAACAAAAAGTTCTTGTGATAGGACTTAGCCTGGGTCTATTGCCCACACTTTGAAACATAAATAATTACCTGCATGGAGTCAATACAACAGCATCATCATACATCACCCAAAATCAACATCATTACTGACAATTACAAGTAATCTCATGTTCTGATAATGTAATTGCACTTTGGAGAGATATTTGTATTTTATCTTTATTTGTTCACCCTGCTCATTACTCGGTTATTTTACAAACATACATGTACTTACCCAAAATAGCCCGACATGTTTTTAGTTTTTGAATCTATCTAACAATGAACAGTCTAAATTTCGTTAGCTTACAAGAGCAATTTATTCCCTTCATTAACAGATCTCATATAAATCATTTCGTCATCTCATTCACTTTCGAAACCAATTCTCACTTCTCCTCTTCTCCACCCCTCAATGTTTTGGCTCTCCTAATCTTCTATCTGAACCAACCTGCATCAAAATTATTTTCGATATCACAGCTCATTTGAAATCTCACATTTCACTTTCCTCATTTGTCTTTTGTCTATCATAGTCCGATCTATCTCTTGTAAACAGGTCTTTTCCTTTCTTTTCTTTATCTTTATCTCTTTTTTCTTTCTTTCCGAGGAGCTTTTCGTGCAACGTTTCTTTAAACGGGGACGGGCGGGGCGGGGGGGAGGGAGGGGGGGGGGGGGGAGTCGAAAAATCTTACATGTGGAGGGCGTGGGGAGGGTCAGTTGGGACTATCCAACTCATCTAAACATCAACGTCACATTACATCTATATATAACATTAATGTACCATTATTCATTGATCTGAAGAGAAAAACGATAGAGACTAAACAAGATTCTTTTGTCCGGTTTTACTAATAAAAGGTTTTTCAGACACAATCAATTCAAAACTACATGTTGAGGTATTGTAGACATAAACTAATGTGATTTCCACATGCTATCTTTTGTACTTTTTATCAAGGACACAATTTCAAACCCTTCTCACATATTTAAATCATTCACTTTGCGACGGTTTGCAGAAAGTAGAGGGAAAAGGTGAACCTTCTTCTAATCTTAAAAATCTTTTAGGAATTACAAGTACATCTTTCTCCGTATCATTTCCCCTCCTCTACAAATAAGCGACACTCCCTTCACCAGACCTCGAGTAGCACCCTGTCGCGAAGACATGTTAGAGTAACCTAATTACCCTCACATTTCTCCTTTAAAAAATGATAGAACATCATGAATGACCAGCTTATCATAATAACAAGTGTCATATCTAACTCCGAAGAGTGATATGAGTGCCTGAAATGATATATAGGCCACATATTGATTTAAAACCTTGCACCCACCACGCGTCCCGATTCCGAATTGTCGTCTCCTTTTATTGTCTCATCGGGGAGTATTTATCTTTGGCGTAACATCACCATTGTAATTGGAGTGTTTCTGCTGAATACACACACGTGCGCGATGGGTTCTGCTTGTACACCTGTGTATATTGGGAGGTGGGGTGTTTAAAAACGACATAAAAGTTACAGGCGAGAACCAAACTGTTTGCATTTGAATGAAAAGGGTCAGAAACGCCAGTTCAAATCTGAATTCGGACAATTACTTAGGGATAAAACGGAACAGGTCATAAAACTTCTTAATTTTGCGCATATATATACAGCTAAAGCTTGTTGGTTTTGGGAGAAGGGGGTAAAGCTGCCAAATATTGACATATTTCATTACAAATGAATATCTTTAGCCTTTCACTTGGAAGGGAATATTAACCACTAGTATTCCAAAAAAATGAAACCCTCTTAGCCTATATGATATTTCCTTGTTTAAGGCATCCTATGAGAAACAAATAGCCAATACTTCTTATTTTAAAATATTCCTGTAGTGTACTGTACACCATACATAAACTGTTTTTAGACGAAAAAAAAATCAAAAAATGCCATCAAGACGGGAAATAATACAATGTATGTCTAAAAACTTGTGCCACTAATATTTTGTAGGCACATAGAGCAGGAGAGAGAGAGAGAGAGAGAGAGAGAGAGAGAGAGAGAGAGAGAGAAAGGGTGTGTGTGTGTGTGTGGGACGGGGGGGGGGGGGGGGAGGCCCGGAGGGGGAACACGATAATCGAAAAAAAGAGGTACAACAAAGGCTCTCGTATTATGTTCTGTAAAAATATATAGATGGCGCCCTTTCAAACAAACACCTTACTACACCATGTATAATGTCGGTCACAGTACATGTACGTCACAAAGACTTGCAGATTCACACACATCACAAGGCCCAATCCATACGAACTTAATCTTCTTACACAGGATGAACTATTACAAATCATATTCAGTTTTATGAAAGAAATCATTACAAAATCATCATGAAAAATTTCTTCAAGATTCACTTGAACAACTCTGATGCACTTACAGTTAGAAATTCCATACAAACAAAATGTATTTGCAACATGTAGTGACTAACTTTACAAAACATTGTACAACGTTACAGTGAATCTTGCTATTGAATTTATATATAACATCTCAATGATCTCATATTACCGTGGTACCATGCTTTTCACAAAGTATGTATTTCGCTGCAGGGAAATATCATCCTTTTTCTGTCCCGACTTAAATTCAGAACAGTTAAGAATTTTCCTTCTTATCATTTCATGTTCACATTCATGCAACCTTCCCAATATCAAATGTATGAAACATACTCCCAGCATAACATGAATGCTGATATAGTTTGTCAGTTTGTAGCGATGAAATATCAACTGTTTGTTTTAGAATTCAATGAGATTATTGCTCGTATCTCATTTTTGAAAGAGCATGCTTGCATTATCAGCACTTCCTTATATCATTTAATTTGTCTTGAAGTCATCTCAAATATGAGGCAAATAAAAGGAATCACACTTTTAAAAGAAACTGTAAACAACTCTTGGGTCTGTATTATGATACTATAGTTATACTTAAGATCACTTTTAACATAGGAAAGACTTAGACCTCAGATTATAAGTTCTTGTGTTGAACCTGATTTAGGACAACTGCTTAAATGTAGTGTTGGGTTTAAAATGAAATATTATTAGAATACAGACCTTGGCGACTACATATAGTTAAAGTTCTTTCATGACAGTAACAAGGACAACATTTCTTCATGTAAAAAGAAAAAATACTTTTCTTGATCCGAGGTATGTACATTACTATTTGGTAAATCAATTTTCCAGCTATTCCTAATAATACATATACAGACCAAGAGGGGAGAGCTATTCATAAAACATAATAATACAGGTATGTGTAATTCAATTATGTTCTACTACAAATGAGACAACCGATCTGTTTCAAGCTAGAAAGAACACATTGTTTTCTGAGAGCCAGAAGGCTGTTAACTCATATCTTTTTACAGTGTTAATACCCTTCTGGCACCAACAGACAGCAATAATTATTTGATTTACAAATATAAAACACAATTTTTTTCAAAATAAGTATTATTGAGAAGCATTTGTGATTTGCTAACTAACCTTATCAACTTGCACAACATATCCATGAAAAACTGTTTCAGCTATAACCTGCCTGACTTGTGTCGGTTTCAATAAAAATCTATTGCAATTAGAGCAACATTCCAAGATGCAAGTTCCGCTACCTTTGTTTCAAAATTCTGCGGAAGGAGACTGCGCCTCAAGACAAATAATCAGACGTGCTAACAGCACAGTTTGTATGTTTCTTCCTCAAAATTAGCTGATATAATATGTCCAGATTTCAATCAAGTTCTCTTACGTGAAGTTGCATGCAACTGAGAGTTCACTTCTGCTTTTGCTTCGCGAGTCCCAAAAGCTCTGCATCTGCCTCAAGCAGCGTAAGGTCTCTTGACGCACCAACAAAATGATCAGTCAATTCCAAGTCTTTCAATCTCAATCGAACCCGAGCTCCCCTGTGATACTTTCTACAGAATTCAAAAGAGAAAAAAAGAACCTAAATCTTCAATTTGTAGGCTACATAATCTACATGTATGACTTCATGGAAATACCATACCGGGCTACTTACAAAAACTGTACATGGCATAGAACATATCTGAATACACATTTGAAAAAGCCATTAGTCAGAGTAGGTCTTACAGGGAAGATTACTTCAATCTATGAGTACTGACAAGACTGCCTCCAAAGTAATTTGTGTAAATGTTTATCAGAAACCCTAATATAGTAACAGAGAACCTTCAAACTCTATTTATGTCTTTACTCTTTAGACACTTTTCTGGCAGTGGGTTACCAGTAACCAGGTCGATGGCACACAAGACCAATAAGCAATACTATAGATGTTGTCGTTATCTCATCTTTTCTTTTCTCTCTGTCTCTCTCCTTCATTTCTATTTTCTTGTTCTTACCTTAATAATTTCTCTGACACTGTCTGACCTTGACTTTGTTTTTTCCTTCTTTCATCTATAACATCTTTTCCACCCCATGAGTTGACATTACAAACTTATTAGTTATCTGGTTATAAATAAATAATACATGGGATGATGGGTGGAATTGTTTTACGTTTTAGCTTTATATCTAGACTACAGATTCTTTCAATTCTTCATCAGCTCAATCATTCATTCCTCACATACTTCTCTGTTTATCCTTCCCCGTCTCCCTTTTCTATCTTTCACAAATTAAATATATTCCAAGAAGATTTGAAAAAAACTTTTCTTAGTGAAATATCAAACGACAATCATCACATTCACAGTGTCATGAAAAGGCACTCACTCTGAATTTTCAGCTGGCGTTTTACAAACACAATGGAACTTTCCTCCAAAGTCGATGTACAGATCATCTTCTACGATGTGAAATATATTTCCATACACGATCTGATTATAAGCGGCACCAAGATTGACATGAGCCGACTTTCTGAACAACTCTGCAAAGGGCACGTCATCGTCAGACGGGGAGGCACTGTCGAGGTCCCCCGAAGGTTCGGGGTCGCTCACATGTGCATGCCTAACAAACGCCTCGGCAAATCCCGTGAGTTTAGAGCCACCTGGAGTGTTCTTATCCGTATCGTTTTCTACAGTTTGTAAATTTTCTCCATCAGCAGTGCTTGGAGTATCACTATAATGTCTTTTTGTGCCGAATAAAACTCTATGGGACCTATAACTTAGCAAAGTTAGAGCACGCTGGCGAATCATTGCAACTATGGGCGCTGCCATCTTGAATTCCTCTGACAACCAATCAAATCTTTCGATCAAAGAGCGTATTGTTAGCTTGCTAATATAAGGACGTTTGTGATTGGTTGTATCTGATAAAACGTCGATACCGTCTGAGCTGCATTACATAAACATGTGTGACTGTGAGATCTAAAAGTAAAAGCCGAGTCGAGATAGAAAGTTAAGTGAGTGAGCAGCTGGCAAAAATCGGCAGAATGTCAGCATCAACAACGCAAGACACCCTAAAATTCCTCCAGTTTGTCAACGATATAAAGGTAAATTAATCTAGGATGTTGATGATCAATCGTGTTTTATTCATGAAGTTGCATGAACACACGTTTCAAACAGCTCCACCCAGCAGCTAGCAGCTCAGCCAGGGCCAAGGTCCCGGCGATTTCCAGCGCCCTGTACTGTTGGCATGATTGGCGAGTTACCTCGTGCCTCGTGGGTTTTCAGGGAGTAAGCTTTTCCAGCGTTGCTTGGTTGGTTGTCGTAGTTTGTACGTCTTGACAAGTATAGACACGCTGTGCATGCCGCATGGTGTTACCGTTACACGGATCCTGACCCAGTGGCTATGACTTTCTCTCTTCCAAAAGCTGCTAAATTATCATGTCTGTGACTGGAGTGTGACTGTGAGTGTGATACTGATAAAGTGAAAGTTTGAAACAATATTGCAAGTTTATGTGAAAAAATAAATTTATTTTTTGATATTTGCAGTGATCTAGCTCAATTAGTTTTTTTTGTCTGGTTGGGGTTTATTTGTTGTTAATAAATGATAAAGGACAAATATTTGTGATTGTTAAGTATAATTAAGTTAGTGCTGCTTGGTGCATACTTTTCGTGAATTTCAAAGGCAAAAGAAGAAGGCTTCATTTTTTGTAAGCGTTCGGACACTAAACCACCCGTCGTACTACTACTACTACTACTAGTACTGACTAGAGTAAAGGACCCGATTTTCGGCCACTTAAGACAAAATCCTATTTTTTGGACTCTTTAGAATCTACTTCCTATTTATTATCATTTCTTGTTCAAATCATGAAGTAAATATTATTATTATTTAAACAAAAAAAGAATCCCAGAAAAAAATCACGAATTGCCATGACAACATTCGTTTCAATTTTCACTGTTTTGGAGCCGGTTATCGGCATAGCGAACCAGTTTTCGGACGCATGTACAAAGTCAATAGGAAGCGCTCGCGCGCCGTGCGTTTCCGCGCTGATGTATAACACAAGCGGGCGGAGCAGGTATCCCACGCCGGAGCTCCCGGGTGCTCGCCTGGCCGAAGACAGGCACAGCGGTGATCGGAAGTTGGAATCTGAATTAGACAGACATATTGTGTGTGCGTGGCGGGGTCCGGCTGCATTGATTTAATACATGCGATGAGATACTTTTGAGCTTGCGACCAACACAAAATCGGGCTCTAAATCTGAAAAATACTTGAAATACAGCTCATTTTATGGTACCCATATTTCTTACATACACGCGTAAGAAACCTTCTTCAGATTTGGGTAGCGGGACCGCCGATTACATCGCTAAAATGTGATATTTTAGGATATATTTTCCATTGCAAATGTGGTTCTTCAGTGACTCTGGCATGGTATGGTATGTGTGGGATATGTGATATGCTATTTTGCGATGTATTTTAAAGGGATTTTACCATGCATCCAATGGATCGGCCGAAAACTGGAGCTGTCCGATTACCGGCTCCTTTACTCTACTGCGTGTGTGTGATATGACACTGTGCAATTTAAAATGCATTCAGTGGACCGCCCGAGAAATCCAAGCTTTAGTCTAGGATAGGTCTACCCTCCCCCTTTTTTGAAGACATTGCTTGTCACAGAACTTGGGGTTAAAATGGACCCCCAAAATCTAATGATAATTTACTTTTTGCTCTTAGCGTTTCTAAATGTATTTTTTATTTAATCCTGTTCTTGATAACAGATCCAACCTCGTCGAGGATGGCAGCTAAGAGGGTTGTCCAACGTAGAGAGTGTATCAGATCACATGTATCAGATGTCTGTCATGGCTATGATGATCACAGACAAGATGGGTCTGGATAAAAACAGGTAAATTGATTAGGTATAGATCTACTGTTCGAGGACATTTTGTGCACTGGTACCTGTGCAGTTACTCTTCAGGAAAGTTGATTTTGTTTTTTGTAGGCTAATACGGGTTCTAGGCCCATTACCTCCTGGACAATCGCCAATTACCATCGGGACAATTACCCCCCCCCCCCCCCGAAGGAAATTACCCTCAGAAAATAACCCTCCAAGGGTAATTGCCCGGGGACAATATGATTAAAACCGATTTTGTCAGAGTGGACTTCCCCAGAGTTCCCCTTTAATAAATAGGGGGGAATTTTTTCGGGGGGGGGGGGGGGGGTGGATTATTGTCCTCGGGGTTGTTGTCCTCAAGTGCCCTGGAAGGGGGGGGGGTAGTTTTCCTCAGGGGTTGGTTGTCCTTGGGGGCAATTTTGTTTTTAATGAAAATATACCACCTAAATCCTTGCATTTGATTTTTTATGACATATTTGTTAAATTGTTTATCGCAGTTGTTGTTAATGACACATTTTGGATAATGGGCATCTGTTGGTCAGGGAATAAGTGGTTGAGTTTCAGCTTGTAATAGTCAGAGCTGCCAACCATTCCGTTTTTGCTGGAATTACTCCGTTATTTCCTCCAAATTACGGTATTACGTTTTTTCTTCATAAAATATGTTTTTTAATTAAGTTTTTTTTTTTTTTTTTTTTTCTTTTTTTTTTTTTTAATTATTTTTTTAATTTAATTTAATTTTTTTTCTCAAATTTCTGTACCGCACGTCAAACAACTGCACTAAAATGGTGATGTGATCACAAATTCAATAGAAAACTAAATTTAAAACATACTTGAAAAGAGAAATATTCTCAAAAAGAATGAAAGCCGATAGTACCAAAATAACCACCAAAAAAATTTCTGCTTGTAATTTGTATGGAATAAACAGCATGATGAATGAACATTTCTCCATTGGAAGTGTGTCGCGAGTGGTTGTAATTTTTTTTTTATGAATTCCTTTTGTTTGACATCATGATTCCTTTTTTAGGTCGCACAAGGTTGGCAGCTTTGAATAGTCCTATAGGGCCTAAATTAAAAACTTGCTGTATTGCCCTTTGCGACCGACCCAAAAATCTGAAAATCTGAAAATCTACGGTTGGTATTTTAGAAAAGTTTTTTTTTTTTAAACCGTTTTTAATTTTTTTCTTATTAATGAATAAAAATATATGTATTTTGTTTGTTTAAATGGGATATAAATGCATAAAATCAAATGATTTTAAAATTCTCACTCGTGCAAACCATGGATAATTATGAGGTAAAAAAGATATCAATGGAATGATGACGCTGAAGCATATGTATTAAAGCATGAAAAAACTGAGAAATATCAGCTAAAAGAGAGCGGGAAAAAGAAGAAAAAAACATTCAAATCTGAAAATATCGGCCCAAAGAGGGTGACAAAAAAAAGTTTTAAAAAAAAATCAAAAAAATCTGACCGACCGACTGACCGACCGACTCATGTTTTGGCACCCAAAGGGCAACACAACAAGTTTTTATTTCAGGCCTAGTCTTGCTTACACACTTTTTTTTCTAATGGTAGGGGATGATGAGATGGGGAAATGTTATCTCATCTGGTATGATTCTTAGATTAGAATTGAATACTTATAATAGAAAAGAAGAAAGAAAGAATAAAACCCTCTATTAAATATTCAACTTTGTTTATGTTTGTTGTAGATGCGTACAGATGGCTCTTGTGCATGACATGGCAGAGTGCATTGTTGGAGATATAACTCCAGTCGATGGAGTAAGCAAGGAGGAGAAACATCGAAGAGAAAAGGTAAGAATTGTTGTTCCTTTTGCCCTACATACCAACTTCAGTAATCGTCCTTGTTGCAATTACAGTTGTTATTAGTCTTTGAAAGCTCTCTGTACATGTATGCCATGTTGTAGCCCTAGTGAAAAGCTGTTCAATATTTAAGGTTACTTGCTATAGCGTATGGTGTTACTGAAAGCCATCCACAGTGAATATTCACTCACTATGGACACCTACAGAGGTATCTAAGGATGCGACTAGTACTCGCACTGTTGACAACTACTCGAGTAAGATTTCTCGTACTCAAATTCTCGGCTGCCATTTTTTTTTTTTTTTTTTCACCTGGCACTGTCCAGGCTGATGCTTATACGTGCCCGGAAGAGCGCCTGCCGCTGGCATGGTACCGTGAGTAAAAATGTTTCCAGCTCAATCACTGTCAACTCACCACTCAGAAACTGGGACCAAATGTCCGGATTTCTGTTTGGACTCGGAGGAAAAGTACATGTAGTCCGTCATCTTTGGTTTTACAGCATTGTTTACAATTATTAATATTGTTAACTCTGCGCCTTCAACTGCAAGTTTTTGGAGACAGACCCGGGATACTTCAACCGTAGTGTGGTGGTGGCAATTTATTTTATTTATTTTTAATTGAAAAAAAAACATGGCATCAGAGTATTTGTCTGTAAGCCTGGGAGTGTACTTTAGTACCTCATTACACGGGTATGCACAGCCTTATTATCTAGATGAAAATCCATACTCTGATAAGTCTCAAGCTGTAGGCAGTTTGCTTTTGAAACCAAAGTAGTATTTTGATTTTCCAGCTTTTTTTAATGTTTTTTATCTGGCAGAATCGGCTTTTTATGTAAATAATGATTTTTTCAAATAATCCTGACATTACTGAAATATTTGCAATTAAGAAAAACAATAACATTTTATTTTTCAGGAGACCATGGATAAGTTATCAAAATTAGCTGGTCCTGAAGCAGGGCAGGAGCTGTACGAGTTATGGAAGGTGAGATATAAAAAAAATTGTGTTAAAGATACTATGTCCCTTTTGCAGCCAACCTCAAATTCAAAATTCAAACCTCAAATGTATGTCCTATCTTTGAAATTTAAATTTTAGTAGTGTCCTAATATTCAAATTATGCAAGGAAATCAGTTTACTTGCTAGACTTTACTGTCAGACACTACTGAGTGACTGACTGACTTTTTTTCTTCTTTGGTAATAACATACATAAAATGAGCTGTAAAGGGTACATGAGCATGTTAACCCACTTCTTGTAATGGCCAAAATTAACTGATTGAATCTTTGCGCAGCATAAAACGTACTGGCTCTATAGCTCTTAAGTCGTTTCGACAACTAATAGTCGTTATTTTCCCACCTAAAGACATTTTCAAGCCCCCGCCTTTCTTTTTAGGGAAGTTATAAATTAGAATTATCCTTCAAATGCCGTTGGAATTTAACCTTTTCATTTTTTGGGACTGCAAATGGGACATAGTACCTTTAAAGGCATCATTCGGAAGCAGAATGATATTGTCATGAATAGAATTGCATTTGTTTCAAGCACTCTTTATTTTTTGCTCCACAAATCGAGTTTCCCTAATACTATCATATTTAGCATTGGGTGTGGTGAATCAGATTCAGGTACATCTAAAATTGTTAAAGGAGCTACACAAAGAAAATTCACTAACAACTCATAATTAGAACAAATTCCATATGGATGGAAAGATTTTCTCTTGAAAAACACGAAGAATTTGCTGAGAAATCATATAGATATCATGGAAAGGCTTAAAATGCAATTTTTTCAAGACGCTCCTTAGACCCCTGAACGCCCCTGAACGTAAGTCAAACACACAAGCGTAGCGAGCTCTAAATAGTGACGTCACACACTGGACGAACAGCTCAGTGCCGTGTAGCAGTATGCAGCTAGCCAGCCGCGTCTCGTATGTGACGTCACAAATATTGATGCTCTACAAAGGACCGCTGAAGGCAGAAAATCTGGATCTCAAAACTAACATTTTTTAGAGTTGATTACTGCGGGCCCCAAACATATTTTGAAGAGGAGAGTTGTTGTATTTGATCGGCAAGGCTTCCCCTTCGCAATGATATGAGTTTTGCATCAATTCAAAACACTTTTGATTCTTCATGTGGCTACTTTAAGAATGTCACAATCACCAGACCAAACTGCCAATTTGAGATTCACATAGACTTATGGGGCGTTGCAAGAAAATTGTAATTGATTGCAAGTTGCACAACGCAACTTTCATGCAACGCCCCACTAGTCTCCTAAATTTTGTAGGACTTTGTTAGAATCAAAGTTTTAACAATTAAATTAAGTTAACTAGATATAGCTTTTATACCCCCCCCCCCTCTCTCTCTCTCTCTCTTACTAATGAGGCATTGCAAGAAAGTTGAGTTGCTTGGTTTATGCTTGATTTTGGGGATTTGCAATCGATTGCAACTTTCTTGCAACGCCAAATTAGTGATCTCATATTTAAAACACTCATAACTTATTATTGGTCAAATTTAGTTCAAACTTTTGCCATTCTGTTTATCTTTTGATTGCAGGAGTATGAAGAGCAATCATCACCAGAGGCTAGGTTTGTGAAGGACCTGGATCGCTTTGAGATGATCTCACAGGCATTCCAATACGAGAAGAGAGAAAACAAGCCGGGTCTTCTGCAAGAGTTCTTTGATTCCACACAAGGTGCATTAAAATGATTCATTTTCCCCCCTTTAAAGGCATCGTTTAACAATGTTAAATCTGAGATGCACGGCCCTATGTGTTATCAGTGTCTGTGATATGGTGTAATATTGAAGCCCTAAAAAAATTGCACTTTAAAACAATCAAGAAGTGCCTCAAAAAAGTAAAAGTCTTTGGGTGATCGGTTTTACCATACTCGTTTTCCCCAATAGACTGTAATGTTATGAAAACCATTAGGAAAACGCAAAATTTGATTCTGATTTCCAATCATAAATATCTTGATAATCAGACAGGCAATCGGCTTGTAAAAGTCATGGGGTTTCTGACTGACCCGAAGGTTTATAATTATCAATTAAGCATGAGCTAAATCCAGGATTTTGTTTCAGAATCTGAGACAAAGTTACCCAATCCCTTTAAAAGCAGCATTAATGTACTGTTCAGTAAAAATGAAAGAAATGTTGCTTCAACTCTTCTCTGCCACCCTTTGGAAGAATTGTCATTATGGAGTTTCCAGCTTTAAATTTTGACTAAAAGTGCTTGTGACATTTGTCACCCACAGTATTTAAGGGGTTTCATGCTCATCAAAGTAGCATGACAGGAAAATTAAAGGTAATACAAAGTTTTGGGAAATTTTGAAAATTGGCTGGATAGTGATTCTTAACAATTTTGATATATATATATGGATGTCCCTGTGGATGTATGATAAGCACCACAAAATTTAGCCCCTAAAAGACTTCTGCTTTCGAGAAAAAAATGAATACCTAAACTTACCAGTGCTCCCGCTAAATGTTGATGAATTTCAAATAGTGCCTGTGACCAAACAATGGTAGCTGCGACCATGAAACTCTCAGAATATGTAGTTGTGATGTATAATTTTCAAACGGGTCAGAAACATTGTTTTATAGCTAAGTTGATATCTTGACCTTGAGAGGGAGCTATACAACATAAAGACTTTATTATTTACAATTTCATAACTTAAGACTCGATTTCAACTGCGACAACGATCACTGAATATTGTAGGATCGCATATGCTTCCAATATGTTCATTTGAACCAAATTCATGACCCCATACCAAAACTTTGTAATACCTTTAAACACTGGTTAAATAATGCTTTTTAAATTTCAATTGAATTTCTTGTTTACAAATATTGCTGTCCTGTATCAAATATGTCTGTCTTGTAATAAATATGTCTCTCAACCATGTGAAAATTGTGCGTAGATCAAAATCTAGTTTACTATGAGACCTGCATATATTTCTCAATTTATTTCTTGACTTTCTTCAGTACTTTTGGAAAGACATGTTGAGGTGATCTATGTCATGCTTCGGGCAGGAGGCCGGCCACACTCCAACCACCCCCTTCATTTGACCCCTTTTCCTTCTGTATCTGATCCAGGTAAATTCAACCATCCCCTGGTGAAAGAGTGGGTAGAGGAGCTAAACACACAGCGAGGGAGCATGATCAGTGAACATCAATGCCAGACCTCCAGTTGACGTTAGCTGAACATCTTTGATATTTTTAGCAAGGTTAATAGCAAAGTAAAGGTATTGGTTAACATTGAATGGGTCTCAGGTCAAGTCCCAAATCATGTGATTTCACTTTTGTTGTTGTTGATTGATTTGAATATATTTACTAGTTTAAGAACATAAATTGTGATTTACATACATGTAAGATGACAATCATGTGTACAGGTTTATGTTATGGATATTATGCTGCATTATTGTAGAGCGCTTAGATACTTCTGATAGAGTAAGTGTTAGGCGCTATATAAGCAAGGATAATTATGATAATTTTATTATGGATGAAAACCCTACTCCGCTGTGCCATAGCAGCACAGTCAATCTTCCAAGTGGTTATTTCATTTATTAAAAAAGTATGTATTAAAAACCATAAAGAGCTGAATTATATTAGACATAGAGATACAGAGTAAAATACAATTTGGTACACAATTTGGCATAATTTATTTTTATATTTAAAAATAACTGTACAATGTTACTTGTGACTCACAGGTTAATTGACAATTTAAAGGTATTGGTTAATATTACATGAGTATTGATTGAAAAGGAAGAAGTTTCAAAGTAAGTTGATTTCATGTCTTAGGGTGCGTTTATGCTCACTTTTGAAGGTTTTGAGATGCTCATAGTAAACGCAGTTCCACAGGGGTATACTGTATATGCAACCCTTCTCCAGGCAAATTAGGGTTCTGCAGCTGGATCTGCAAACCTGCACTGCGCGTGCTACGTCGACCCCGGGAGGTCAGGTCAAGTTGGGGCGCGCGCTTTTTGTCATATATGGGTTTGTTCCTCGTCAACCCATTCAATTCATCTTGTATTTCGGGTTCGGACCAAATGAGGAGAAGGGCCCTCAGTTCCTCTTCAGTGTAGTTTAAACCCATGATATAAATATGGAAGAAGTACTTAGTATTAAGTTAACAGGTTACAAATGATCTTGCTTGGATCACTCTGCTTGTGCCTGTATATGCGCATTCCTCAAGAAAAAAACAAGCATAATATTTTGAACCATATGAGCGGCGCTCAGATTTTCACCTGAACCGGAAACAAGTTTATCATGACGTCATTTAAATGCGTTTACAAACGATTGTGCGTTCATGCTTCCCTGGAAACTGTCTTTCTGGACGATCAGGTTGAAGTCATTGTTGTCATGTTGTTTTTGTTTTGTTGTGCTCGTAATAATTTCCAGATGTCGTCGTTGTTGGTTGAGTTTTTGGTGTCGGCCGACAAAGGCAAAGCCTTTGAAATCACCTACAGTTGAAGGGTCAGGGCCAGGTCGGCTCATTATTTATAGGACAGCCAGTAATTAACTACACTCAATTCTAATTAGCCTTACAAGAAAAAGAAAAAGAAATTCACCTTCTGACAGAACAAAGTTCTACATAAATTAGTTTTAAAGCAACTGACTGGGCAAGCCGTTCACCTACAGTTTAAGGGACAAAACCTGTTAGGCTTCATTATGAAGGGATTAAACTGAAGTGGAAAGCGAGAAGAAACTTAAACTTTGTAATCAAGCTCTGCTCGATGTTGCCAGCAAGTTCTAGTGCTATGTCATGTTTTCCTTTTGCAACGCTCTCGGTTGTTTTTCTTCGTCAGGCATACGCATCTGTGCTTGACGCCTAGGTACGTAGATAGAGAGGTGGTGAGACTTGTATTTTAAGAATAATATACAAGAGTATAATTTAATAACTCCAAACAACAAGTCACATAGTCCAGATTCAATATATATCCCCTCCTCTCTATGAGGTGGGCACACTTATTGTCGTGTTGGGATCGGTGTATGTTGATATTGGCAGTCGGAGAGGTACATACAATGAAGCAGCAAGGAGAGGTTAGCAATTACTGAGTCATATTAGAGTATTTATTACCTCCAAACTTTGTAAATTCGTAACATCGTAAATTGACACAGTGAAAACTGATAAGCGAAACATGTGATCATTGTTCCATCTTATACTCTCCCTCTCTCTCAAACACATTAATGTACAACCACTGATCACCACTTGAAATCAGAGATGGAATACTCTACCGTAGATGGGAATCGATAGATGGCAAAGAAGTGAAATGGCGACTAGTATTATCTGGAAGGAAAATCAATGAAGTTTTGAAAGAACTTGATGGAAGCGCTTTAGCTGGTCATTTGGGAGCAACTAAGACACTGAAGAGTAGTCAGATGAGATACTACTGGGTAGGAATGAAGGTAGATGTGAGGTCTTTCACCCGTAAATGTTACAATAGTTAATTTTTAATATCGAAACCTATTCCTAGGCTATCATAACAATGGTAAAATAGCTACAAAACTAATAATCCTAAACGATTTAACAACCATAAAATATAGAAAAACTTATTCGTGATTCAATACTGAACCCATGCTTACATACTAGTGCAGACTTATGCACAATAAGCAACTGTAACATTATCAAATTATGCAGACTTATGCACAAAAACAACTTCCAAATTATAAATTGTGCAGACTTATGCACATGAACATAAACAAGAAAAAAAAGTATAATCAAGTTAAATAATTATTTTAAAGTTATCAAATCCAAAACGTTTAAAAAATGTAAATGTGTGTCTCTTATCAAATGAATAAAGCAGACTGCGAGTCTACCTCGAAGTAACAACCATGTTTCACTCACCTAAAGTCCTTGAGGGTATATCGTCCTCCTAAGATCTAGATAGGTGCCTGAATTCTGGTTGTCGGTCGTGCTAAAGAGAGAGAGTCCTTCCCTACAGATGCCCAGGTGGAATGCTGCCCTCTAATGGTGAAGGCGGCACTTGTCGTCTGCTAGGTCCAAGGTCCTGTGTAGTCTGCTCTGTGGGCCCTACTACATTCCCCCCCGTTTTAAAAAATGAGTCTCAGGGAGAGCCTGACTCGAATTAATCCCTAATTCCCCATGCGTCACAAGCTGTGACAAAGGCCTGACTTTTTTCCACACAAAATAACAAAACAGGCCAAACTACATAAAAAAACTAAGTAAAACACCAAAAACTGGTAAAAACCCAGATTTTCAAAAACCAAAACACCTTAACCATAAAATGAACAACAGAAAAAGTGAAAAATTATTGCGACAGGCCCCTTATCCCTTTTTAATATAAAAATGGACAAGGGCGATCCAGCCAAACCAAACATATACCAAAAGAAAAACTCCCAGACGCATTGCAAGCCGGCAAGGTACCGAGGCCTCAAATCAATATAATTTAGGCCCCCTGACTTCAATGGCACTTCACCCAGGAATGACCGATATAATACGTCCAGGGCCCCCCTGGGTTCAATAATGCTACGCGCGGCATCCAGGGCATCGGTTCCCTGGAGCAGGGGTCAGCCACCAGACGCCCTTTTTCAAAATGCAGGGGACATTGTCATCACCCCCCCTGCACACCCCGCCCATCAGGCAGTAGCCTACCTTTGCTGGTACAAGAGAAGTCCATTGCGGGCTTTGAACTCAAGAATATCATTCACAGACTCCCTCCGTGCCTGAGCCACCATTCCCGCAATCTCCCCAGACGCAGCTGTGCCTGTAGCAGGCTGCGCTGTGCTGGCCAACGGTCGGACGGAACAGAGAAGTCCAGGCCCATCTCACCAATGGCCGCCAAGCCACTGCTACATACCAGGCTTGCCACCCTATCCACATCGCGCTCCCCCACTCTAGACGCGTATTTGCGTAGTATTGTTAGGTAAGCTCGTTGGGTCCCTTGGTGGTTACTAAGTAGGTTGTCATGGTATTGGGAGATGAAAGTGTCTGTCAGTGTTTCTGGTATTGCAAGTTGAAGTCGAAAGTCGTCATTCTTGTCAAAGAAGAGCCTAAAAACAACGCCATCACAAAGAATATATTCCTCTGCCTTTAATCGTATAGCCTTCGCTGCCTTTTTGTCACTTGGCAGGATATCATGAGCTAGAAAATCATACACAGGCTTGAAGAATGGTGATGTTTGTTCTGTTTTAAGTTCTCTCATGTCAATGGGGAGGGTATAATCTCTGATTATTTTCCTCTTGATTATGTCAGTAATTCTATCAAGTTTGAGTTGTTTGGGGATATGTCCTGCTATTATATTGTTTACCTTGGTGGTCAGTGGCTTAGGCGAACATTAAAATTGCAGCTCGGCAGTCGTCAGGTATAGAGTCGAGAAGTCAATGTTTTATTTGGGTTGCCTGTAGTCGATGTATGTTGCTGTTAGTCGGAGTCGTTGGAGGTATGCTTCTGCGCTCTCCTCGTCGGTCATTGTCATTGTGTTGAAGTCACAGACGTGGCTGTACACGGATTTAGCAGGGCTAAATCTCCTCACAAAAGCATCCTTTAGGTTGTTATAGGTGGAAAAAGTCAGGCCATCAATCCATAGTCTGGCCTGTCCTTGTAAAGTACGTCAGAATTTCCTAAGTATCGTCGGAAATTGGTTTGGGTCAGTAGAGTTGACGTCATTTGCGTCGAGGTAGTCGCCAAGATCAGTGTGAACAACCTTCGTTAGGAGATTATCATCTTTGTATTTTTCAAAGAATTCTCTTAATTCCTTCTACAGGTGGGCAACACCGGCACCATTGTGAAACAAAATATTACCGGTAAACCTATTGCCTTTAAAGGGAATGAGGGATACGGCCGAATCCAGCTCCATCTCCACTGGCGCTTGCTCTGCTTAATCTTTCTATAAATAGACATGCGTACCGTATATATTATTATTATTATAATTATTATTATTGTTGTTAATTCTACGCCGTCATCATCACCATCATTATCGTTCTTATCATCACCCTCACCGTCACATCATTCATAATTTCTTATCACAATCATCAGCAACTATAACTATATCATCAACGAATTGTCATGTCAGGAGTATCGCACAGAAACGTTAACTGGAGATACATGTTCCCCTCGGCCCTCCCCCTTCTTCTTCTTTTTTTTTGGGGGGGGGGGGGGGAACAGATTCCAATTGGAATAACATATCCCATGATAATTTTAATTAATTTTATCTTTTGTCTTGCAAGTCTTAACAGTTAAGTCTTGATTGTCAACGTCTTCTTCATCAGCAGTGATGAGGAATTCTGAGATGGCTGCT